AACCCATGAACTACTTTTTCAATGGCTTGCAATTCATCGTCGTTTTGCTTTGCTGTTCAAATTGTTCTGTGTCTTTGTGACCTACCCTCATTTTTTTGAGTACTACTTTTTTTTTTTTTTTTTTTCCCCTGAAATAAGATGTTCCAGGATCTTCTTGGAGTTTCTTTTCCTCAGACCTGGAACCAGCCACTTTTCTGAGGAGCCTTGGTTCCTTTTAGTAGAAAGTGATACCAGAAACCAAGATCTGAGCTCATTGAAACTGAGGTGTTACTGCTTTTGGTTCAAGCCATTCTCCTAGACTGAGCTAGGAAATGTGCGTGCTAAGGTGTAAAAGGGATGTGTGGCTGCAGGAGGTTATTTTATGTCTGTGAGTTTTGCTCATTTGCTAAGTTGCCTGTCTACAGTAGAGAGTTCTGATTATCTAGATCCCAGTTAATTTCTTTGGTTAACAAATTTGTGATTAATATGAGTGGCTGTGAGGCTGTATGAAAATACAAAACTGTGCAGAAAAGTTAACATAGCAAGCCCGAGCCTGCTATCTTTAGAAAGACTTGCTTACAACGTTGGCCACTGGCCGGCATCTGGGAACTGTAACTTTGGGATCGTTCCCACTAATCCCAGAGTTGATGAGTGTAAAAACTGCCTGTAAAAACAATGCAGTTTATGTTGAACACCTGCTTTCCTTCTGAAGTCTGGCATTTTGGTACATGCTAGACAGAGAGTGCCTATGTGACTAGCACCCAGTAAAAAAAACCTTGGGTTTTGAGGTTCTACTGAGCGTCCCTGATAGACCACATTTCACACATGCTGTCACAACTCGTTGCTGGGGGAACACAGCAAGTCTTGTGTGACTTCACTGGGAGAGGACTTGTGCAAGTTTGTGCCTTGTTTCCTCCAGACCTTGCCCCAGGAGCCTTTCCTCTTTACTGATTTTGCTGCGTGTCCTTTCACTGTGGTAAACCACAGCCAAGAGAATGACAATATGCTGAGTCCTGTGAACCTTTCTAGTGAATCATTGAAACTGGGGGCAGTCTTGGGGATCCCCAAACATGTATACAAGAAAATGTGATGTTTTTATCAAAAGAAAACAGGACTATTTTTTCTCTTAGAGTGAAATGTGTGCTTGTTTCAGAATATGAAAGATAGTAAAGGACAAAACTGGAGAAGATGCTGTACATTTCAGAAGGTTTGGGTGAAAGTAAACTTGTGCTATGAATACCAGAATGAAGAAATAAAATGTGTTAAAATTCTGACAAAAGTTGGCTTGATTTTGATGGGTTTATTCATTAAAATCTTTGTGAAATCTTTAATACAAAATATTATATTTAAAAATATTAAACTTTGGTTCTCTTAAGTGATAGTTTGTTCAACAAGAGAAAGGGAAAGATCGTTCTTTACCTTCTGTGTAATCTACTCAAACAGTAGAGATTGTCTCATCAGAACATGGTTTTGTGCTTTGTGCTGTTATGCTTTTCATTATATATATGTATGTATATATATATGAATATATTCATATAGATTACATATTCATATATTATATATATAAAATACATATAATGTCCCTCTCCATAAGTTTTATTGACAAGGCAGAAGGGTATTCCCCTGAATGTTGCTTCAGAATACTGTATATTACTACAGAATACAGAATACAGAAGGGAATCCCCTTCTGCCTTGTCAGTAAACTTATGGAGAGGGACAGCTCATATGGCTCTGGGTCCCAAGACTGCCCAGTTGGGGTCTAGAAAGAATTATGCAAGGAAGGGAAGAAAGCAATCTTCCAACCTGTGTCATCTTCTAATAAACACATATTTTTAAAAGTGAGAACACATCTAAGAAAATGAAAATTGAGAGACTTTTAATAGATAATTGATCTAGTTAACTGTTAATCAATTTGAATGATGTTTAGTACTCTTACATTATCATTTTTATATTTTGGGTGATATTACATTTTTCCCCCCAAACCAGATAGAATTAAAAACTTATACAAAATCAGATTTTTACCACATTTTGCCTAATATTTAAGGCAAAAAGTAGTTTTTTTTTTTGAGACAGAGTTTCGCTCTTGTTGCCTAGGATGGAGTGCATGATCTCAGCTCACTGAAACCTCCACTTCCCAGGTTCAAGCCATTCTCCTGCCTCAGCCTCCCGAGTAGGTGGGATTATAGGCATGTGCCACCATGCCCAGCTGACTTTGTATTTTTAGTAGAGACAGGTTTTCTCCATGTTGGTCAGGCTGGTCTTCCCGCCCTAAGGTGATCCGCCCACCTCGTCCGCCCAAAGTGCTGGGATTGCAGGCGTGAGCTACTGCACTGGCCCATTTTGCCTAATTTTAAGTGTGCTTTTTATACAAATTTTGTTTCTCCCTTCCCCCTCAATTAGCCCTACTGAGTGGTGCCTATACCTGCCCTGGGAACTCAGCACTACTTATTAGACACTACCTTCCTCTACTGCTTAACCTTCTTGCAGATACTCGGGCTGCTGAGGGCATCTCCCATCCCATCTTTCCAGAAGTTGTGAAGCCAGATAAACAACTAGAAATGGGATTGGTATCCTGAATGATATGGAGATATTTTATGGTTGGTGCTTTATTACATTTTAGGTTGGTTTTAAAATATGCTTAAAAAAGAAAAATTTAAAAGCAATTAACAAAAGTTTCAGAGAATACATATGCAAACATCTTTATTGACAAGTGAGCCAATAAGAGCATATTTAGTTCATAGATAATAAAAAACATTTGAAATGCGTAACATTAAAATGTCGACGATTCGTGTTGCAGTACAAACATGTGGCAGGTTAAACATCAGGCATAAAAAGGACAAATACTGACATGCAAAGGGCCAGAAATCCCAAGCCCTTTAACACTATTTAAAATGCTATTCAACTGCAAACTTCAGCCTCTGGAACCATCCCAGGTAGCTACTGGTTAAGTGATACTCAGTAGGAAAAAAAAAGGTTCTGGAAGGTCTGAAGGAGGCTGTGCAGAGAACAGCACCAGATGGACCCAAGAGCAGAAAGAAGTAAAATCTCATCTTTACGATAAGCCAGAGAGAACAGGATGATCACAGTTCTTCATGGATAAACAAAAGATGTGGAAAACACACCCACCCTTAAGTACTTCTACTGATGCATGCTCAGCCACTTCTCTATGGAGACAAGGAGAGAGAAAGAGAGCACCAAGTAGGAGTGGGGGACTCTTATTTAATGTCTGCCAGTTCCTTTAATCCTTATGACAACCTTATGAGCGGTCAATGATACATTCCCTTTGTTGAAACCTAATACAGATAAAGAAACTGAAACTCAGAGTAGGGAGTTTTTCAAAGTCACATGACTGCCTAGTGGGAGTGGCAGAATTCATACTCAACTCTGGAAAGCCCATGTTGGTCTTCTTTCCTTAGTCAAATTTTGGGCCTCAAATAAATTTCTTTTCACTCAAGAATTTGGCAAATTTCAATAACTTGAATTCTCTTGACAATACATAGTAACATCCTAGAATGAGGAGTATTTTGATGCGTCATTTCCCATCTCTTTTATTTTTCTGACCCCAATTATCTCTTGATAAGTTCAATTTTTCCATTCCACCTAATTTCTCTGACTGGTTTAAATCTTCTATCCCACTTCTTGATGAATGCTCTAGAACAGAGGTCAGCAAATATTTTCTGTAAACAGCGAAATAGTAAGTATTTCAGGCTTTTGGAGACATACAACCTACGATGGGCTATATCTCTACCAAAGTTATATGGTGAAACTTAATTCTATGATGATATTAGGAATTGTGGCCTTTTGGAGGTGATTAGGTCATAAGGGTAGAGCTCTCATGAATGGGATTAGTGCCCTTATAAGGGGCTGAAGATACCAGAGCTCTCCCCTTCTACCATGAGAAGACACAGTGAAAGTAATTTAACCAAGAAGCAGACCTTCACTAGACCCTAAATCTGTTGGCACCTTGATCTTGGAATTCCCAGCCTCCAAAACTGTCAGAAGTAATTTTCTGTTGTTTATAAGCTGCCCTTTTTGTGATATTAAAGCCCAAAGGCACTATCTCTGCTGTAGCTACTCAATTCTGCCATAGGACACAAAAGCAGTCAAAGACAACATGTAAATGAGTGAGTGTGACTGAATTCCAATAGAATGTTCTGAGAAATAGGTGGTTGGCCAGAGTTGGCCCATGAGTCCATGCCACAGATTGTCAATTCCTGTTCTAAACCATTAGTATTGAAGACTAAGTTATTGTGATAAAAGAGGTGAGTTCCTTTTCTTGCATTTTTTTTTTTTTTTTTTTTTTTTTTGGTAACAGTCTTGCTCTGTCAGCAAGGCTGGAGTGCAATGGCATGATCTCAGCTCACTGCAATCTGTCTCCTGGGTTCAAGCAATTCTCCTGTCTCAGCCTCCGAAGTTGCTGGGACCAAAGGTGCATGCCACCATGTCTGACTAATTTTTGTATTTTTAGTAGAGACGGGGTTTCAACATATTGGTCAGGCTGGTCTCGAATTCCTGACCTCAGGTGATGTACCTGCCTCAGCCTCCCAAAGTGCTGGGATTACAGGCGTGAGCCACTGTGCCCAGTTCCCTGTATTTTCTTGAACCAGTCATTCTCCTACTCTGACCTCTCAGACCCTAAGCCTTCCCACCCACCACAACCCCCTTCAATGTGTTTTTTGTTCATTTAAAAATCCTTTTGTGAAGAGTCCTTTCACTCTTGTCTCCTGTGATTTCCATCACTCCTGGATCTATAATCCATCATCCTTAATGATGATGCTCTCCACTAGCACTTCTTTAAACTCTACTTCCCTCATTTTCCCCAATCACAAAACTAAGGTCTACTGAGAGGGAATTACAAGAAGTCTTAAGAGAGATAATGTTGAAGGGGCAGGGGTACAGACTGATCTTGAAGGACAGGATTTAGGAGCGAAGATTAATTACATTTTTGCTACCACTTTTCATAGTTTTCTTTTCACACAACATGTATTATTTTATAGAATAAGAAAACATTGACATTTGTATAGTGTTTTGCTAAATATTTATTTGACCTTTTGCATTGTTTCCAATTCCTCACCAGTCTTTGGTCACCAATGTAACTTATGCTACTATGTCACTGTGGTTTCATGATTTGTCTACCTTCTTCAGAGGTCTCGGATAAAGACCAACCAACATATAGAGAATGACAATGATATGGTTTAGATCTGTGTCCCCACCCAAATCTCATGTTGAATTGTAATCCCCAGCATTGGAGGTGGGGCCTGGTGCAAGGTGACTGGATCATACAGGTAGTTTCTCAAGAATCTTAGCACCATTCCCCCTAGTGCTGTCTCATGATATAGAGGTCTCATGAGATTTAGTTAAAAAGTGTGTAGCATCTTCCCTCTCTCTCTTCCTCCTGCTCCATCCCTGTGAAGATACTTGCTCTGGCTCTGCCTTTTGCCATGAGTAAATGCTTCCTGAGGCCTCCCCAGTCATACCTCCTGTATAGCCCATGGAACCATTAGCTAATTAAACATTTTTTCTTTATAAATTACCCAGTCTCAAGCATTTCTTTATAGCAGTGTGAGACTGAACTAATAAAGACAACAACAACAACAAAAAGCAGGTAAATATTAAGTCCAGAGAAATGGCAACTTCTTCATAAAGGGAAGCTGCTTATCCTCAAGCAAGTCAATTGAGGACTATCCTATGAACTATTTTCTGTACCTGTTTTCCACTCATACAGGGAAGTATGCCCTGGTGTCTCACAGTTGCTTCAGTTCTTCTTTACTGGGACCCTAAATATAATAACACACTGAACCTATCAACTTTTCAGACCCTCAATATCCCTGGAGCTTTTTCTCAAAAGGACACAACACAGCTTACAGAAATAGAGAAATGAAGTCTCCCTGACACTTTGATTATAGAAAACCAAGGATTCATTCACTGCCAAGGATAAGAAAATAATAACTTGATCAACAACCACCGTTAAGATTTTGACTCATTCATTACTTCACATCAACTCCAAGGGAAACGGAAAATCAAAGAAGGTTACCACAGTAGAGGGATAACAATGATATAAATCAATGATGAACATAATCCATGTGAACATAACTTAGAATCATCTGTAAATGTTATACATCCTAGTTATGGTCATCAAATTGGACAGCAACTTGTTGGGGGAGGAAGGGAATCCTAATGACTTTCAACCCTGCCTTTTTGGTTTTTTATGGCTAATATAAAAGAAATGACAGTCTGGAGGAATTACACCATATGTATATCTAGATCTCTACTTGGGACTCACGGAGTAATAAATAACAACACTGTGTCTTCCTGATGAGGATATAAGCCCTCAGCCTAATCTACCCAATAAGAATTTCCTTACAAAGCGAGAGGCTACAACAAAGCTCTGGCATAACCCAGAGTGGAGAAAACTAGAATTTACAATGTTTGTACTGCTACCCACTCTCAGGGACTTCTTGAATTTCTACAAATAGCTATTTGAGAGGTTGGAGATTAAAATTTTGAAATTGCTGGCTAGATTTTATAATTATCAAATAATGTACATAAGGAACCTGTCTATGGCTCAAAACTATGTATTATAAATGAAATTAGATGCATAGAGAATTGGTCCTCACATGCATATTATGGATGGGTCTTCCACCTAAACACTCAAGTATTTAACATAGTGATAAAACCAACTTACATTTTTTTACATTCAGTAATTTTTTAGGGCCTCTCTTCAGTGTGAACTCTTTGATGTCTGATGAGAGATGAACTGCACTTAAAGCTTTTCCCACACTCAATACATCTAAAGGGTTTCTCTCCGGTGTGAGTTCTCTGATGTTGAATAAGAGCTGATGAATGAATGAAGGCTTTTCCACACTCACTACATTTGTATGGTTTCTTTCCAATATGAATTCTTTGATGTTTAGCAAAATTTGAGCTCCGGCTGAAGGTTTTCCCACATTCATTACACTCATAGGGTTTCTCTCCAGTATGAATTCTCTGATGTTGAACAAGATGTGTGCTCTGACTAAATGTTTTCCCACATTCGCTGCATTCATATGGCTTTTCTCCAGTATGAACCCTCTGATGCTTAGTTAGGGATGAGCAATGGCTAAAGGCTTTCCCACATTCTTGACATTTATAAGGTTTCTCTCCAGTATGAGTTCTTTGATGTTTAATGAGTGCTGATGAATGAATAAAAGCTTTATCACATTCATTACATTCATAAGGCTTCACTCCAGTATGAATCAACTGATGCTGCACAAGATGTGTACTTCGATTAAAACCTTTCCCACATTCATTGCATTCATAAGGTCTCTCTCCAATGTGAATTCTCTGATGTGTTGCAAGGGATGAGCTTTCTGTAAAGGTTTTCTTGCATTCACTGCATTCAAAGAGAATTCTAGTATGAGTTCTCTGGTGTTTAGTTAAATTAGCTCTGTGGCTAAAAGATTTCCCACATTCATTGCAGGTATAGGGTTTCTCTCCAGTATGGACTCTCTGGTGTCGAATAAGCACTGAATGGTAGGTGAAGAGTTCACCACAATCATTACATTTATGAGGTTTTTTCTCTTTATAAGTTCTCTGCTTTTTCATTAAGTTTGATTTTTGTTTCAATCTTTTTTCAAGTGTATGGAAGGCATAAGATCCTTTGGGAACTCTGTCTTCAGTGATAAGGACAGACTTCTGATTGAAGCTTTTCCAATACACATCATGCTCATGGTCTGTTTCCTCAGAGAGTGAATGCATGTGAGTGAACATTTCTCTCAAATGTCTCTCCCCATCTCCTTGCTGATTCTCTAACCAATTTTCACATTCAAGAGCTGTTTCCAAGTTGGAGTCACAGACACTATTTCTTGTCAGTCTGTCTATTATTGCAACTTTGCATGATTCTGCTTTAGAAAAATCTTGCACTGAAGTTGAATCCTTGCTCTCTGGTCTAGTCTTCATGTCTGAAAGACATTGGAAATGCAAATTTCCTTCGTTTTCTGTGCTCAACAAAAAGGCAGTTCTGTAATAGGTAAGAGTTAATGAAAGTGAAAAGCATGCCTTCAAGGAACAAGTGGATTTGACTCTTAGATGATTTGCAAAGAGAAACAAATGGAGGGAAACAAATGCTCAGAATATGCAGAGAAAATGAGTACATCCTATCCAGGAGTCAGAAGATGGGAAAGATGACAAGAAATGTAAGGGCAGAGATGCCAATAAAGACAAAGCAATATATCCATGGATGAGCAGGCAATGAGTACCCAGATCAGGATGGGGGAAAAAACAACATTTTATAGCATACATACTTGTTGTAATAAATTTCTAGGCACAGAACCATCTCAGTGTAGAGTACAGTTACGGCTTCTAAATTTTCAATATTCCAATCCTACTCACATCCAAATACATATTCCATTGCCAGTTTAATCTTCTTAACAATGCTTTTGTAACATTTCCCTGATCAAAAACCTCCTATGATCTCCTAAAGGCATAATGACAAATATATGAAATGATACATGCACAAGGCTATTCATTGAAGCACTAATTGAGGTAGCAAAAGACTGATAACATCTCACGTATCTTACTATACAGGAATGATTGAACATATAGTGGATATATACAATGGAGTACTTGCAACTCCTTAAAAAATGACAAAGATTTTTATATATTGTTATAAAGTGTCCACCAGGATATATTAGCTTAAGTAGAAAAAGCAAGATATAAATAAGCATAAACAGTTTGCTACTTTTTTGTAAAGAAAAAAGGGGGTACAAATACATACACTATTTTGTTACATTTTCAAACACAAAAACAAAAAAGGATAAATGGAAAACTAGTAAAAATTTGTACCTATAGGAAAAACATCAGAACAGGGGAGAGAAGGCAGAGATGGGAACTTAACCTCTCTAAATATATCTAATATAAATATAGTAGAATTTTTTATATCAAATATAAAGCTGATTTATAGAAATTATTGTTTTTTTTCTGAGACAGAGTTTCATTCTTGTTGCCCAGGCTGGAGTGCAATGGTGTGATTTCGGCTCACTGTAACCTCCACCTCCTGGGTTCAAGTGCTTCTCCTGCCTCAGCCTCTGCAGTAGCTGGGATTACAGGCATGCACCACCACACCCAGCTAATTTTATATTTTTAGGAGAGACAGAGTTTCTCCATTTTAGTCAGGGTGGTTTCAAACTCCAGACCTCAAGTGATCTGCCCACCTGGCCTTCCCAAAGTGCTGGGATTAAAGGTGTGAGCCACTGTGCCCAGCTGAGATAAAATATTTTAAACAGTGTAGTTCAAAGAAATAAACAGAGGAGTAAAATAGAAGAGCAAATACAGAAATAAAGTATATATAATAATAAAAGATAATATGATGGAGATATTTCAGTCAGTGAACAAAACATAGATTTGTTTCTCCAGTGATGCCACGGCAACTGATTAACTATTAGAAGAAAATTAAGTTAGATGAGTCACTCATTTCATACACTCAAATAAATTAATTCATTCATCAATTTATCTTCTATTCATTTTATTCAACAATTATTTATAGAATATCTTCCATGTATTAGGCTCCGAACTAGTCACTGGGGAAAAACAGTCACTATGCACATAGAGGAAGAAAGAATTCAATCTAATATTCACAAGCAAAATGTGAATTGCAGTTCTGCCACTTACTATCTGTGTAATACTGGGTGAATTATTTAACCTCTCTACTTCAGTTACCTTACATGTAAGAGGGGGCAATGACAGTACCCATCTCACAAAGAATGCTAGCAATACCTACATTAATGAGCATTAAATGCAAATATTTATGAAGCACTTAAAACTCTGACATAGCATAAGTGCTACATAAGTGTTTGTTAAATAAATAAAACATAAATTGATATAAGGCTTGTATAGGTAAGTAGAGGTAAAGATCTTCAAGTACGGTCTATGAACCCCTGGGAAACTGTAAGTTGTAAACTCCTTTCAAAATAACATTTAGATGTTACTTGCCTTTTTCATTGTCTCAACATTTTCAATGATGTTGTAAAAGTAATGGTAAAATTGCTAACAACTTAGTACAAATCAAGACAATGATACTAAACTTACTAGCAGTCATTGTATTCTTCCCCATCATGTACTCTTGGCTTAAAAAAAAAAGCCAGTTTTATTTTACAATGTCTAAGGAAGCAAAAACATTATTAATTTCATTGAATTTCAACCCTTGAAATGCCTTTTTTTTTCTTTTGAGACAGAGTCTCACTCTGTCACCCAGGCTGGAGTACAGTGGCACAATCTTGGCTCACTGCAACCTCCACCTCCCAGGTTCAAGTGATTCTCCTGCCTCAGCCTTCCGACTAGCTGAGACTACAGGCATGTGCCACCACACCCGGCTAATTTTTGTATTTTTAATAGAGACGGGGTTTCACAATGTTGGCCAGGCTGGTCTCGAACTCCTGACCTTGCGATCCGCCCACCTTAGCCTCCCAAGTGCTAGGATTACAGGTATGAGCCACCATGCCCGGCCAAAATGCCTTTTTAATATTCAGGGTTAATGAAATAGGAAATATTTATAAGACAATTCTGTTTATACCAAAGAACGATAGTCATCTTGCGGAAAACCACCATGTAATCATTTGAGTTGTGAGCTGAACCTACCACTTGTTTCAGAGACCACCATTTTCCCTGAAAGAATGACTGAATGGCAAACTATGTTATCTAACTTGAGTATTTGGCAGACAGTTTTAGGCAGAAATTATGAGTTGTGGAAAACTTTTATCTACCACCAAGAGCTTGATGGCTTCCTAAAACTTCTGATAAGGTCAGTTATGATACCAAAAGTTATAATATTTTAAAATATTGCACAATGTAAAGTGTCAATATAGATCCACATAACTTAGTGAACCAATACTGTCCAAAAGATTGACAGATTTTAATATATGAAAAATTCATGGATGTGGGTTCAGATTCCACATTGTACCTAGTCTTTCAGAAAGTACCACTTGTTCAGTTTTCGAGCTGTTTCAAAGAATAGCTATAATGACCTGAAAAGAATATAAAATACTCCTTCCTTTTCCAACTTATATCTGTACGATGCTGGATTTTCTTCATACATGTCAACCAGAACAACATATCATATCAAGCTGCATTCAGAAGCAGTTGTGAGAATATAGTTATCTTCTATTTATGAGATTAAACAGATTGGCAAAAGTATAAAACAATTCCATATTTCTTAATAAAATTGTTTTTTGTTAAATAAAATAGCTGGGTTTTTTAAAATAAAAATTATACTGTGGTAACATGTAACAGGTTTTAACTGTTTATTTCCATTTTTCTTTTAAGAGATGGGTATCACTGTATTGCTCAGGCTGGTCTCTAACTCCTGGACAACTGACCCACCCACCTTGGCATCCCAAAGCACTGGGTTTACAAGTGTGGACCACCACACTTGGTCAATTATTTGTAGATGAATTAGTTAGTAACTTAAAATTTTTCTCAGTTTCAACTTGTAGCATAATAACTATTGGTAGACACAACCCACATAAATGAAACACCTTTAGGGTCTTTAATAATTTTTAGTTACAGTAGGTCCTTTAATGCCAAAGCATTCAGAATTGCTACACTAGAGCACAGAGATGGAAGAAGAGTTAGCTATGAAATGAGGCTGGGATAATGAGTAAAAGCCAGATTTCACAAGATTCTGTAGATCTCCAGGGTTTTATCTGTTACCCTAAAGGCAGTGAGAAGCCACTGAACATGTTTCAAACAGAGTGATGACACGATCAGATTTGATTATGAAAATATCACTCTCACTACGATGTTGAGAATGAAGTATTGAGGGCAAAGGTGGAATCAGAAAGAGTATCACAGTATTCCAGGCAAACAAAAAATATATAAGGGGAAATTAACAGTGAAGAAAGACTTAGAATATAATTAAGTAAATACAGTGATGAATTGGATAAAGAAGAGAGGGGGAGACTGGCATGTACAATTTGATGACAATAAGTACCATTAAAACAATTATTGGAAAAGGATCCTGATGGGGGGGGATGGAAAATTTAGACTTATTTTAGACATTCAGTTTTAAACATGTTGTATTTGGGACTCATTTTGAAAGAAGGTAATTGGCTGTGGGAAGGATGAGACTAATGAAGGAGTAAGTAAAGGCTGCAAACAGTTGATCAGTTGGCCAAATCTGACCTTTGACATGTTTTCTTTGGCCCACGCTGTTTATGCAAACTTTTAAAATTAGTTATCCATGTTTAAAAATAGAATGATTACAGATAAATGAAAATTTGGGGTTTCTCTTTTGAAAGAAACTGGAAGCATACCGAATGACAACAACCATTTAGAGCAGGGATTCGCAACTACAGCCTACTGTCTACTTTTCTAAATCAATTTTTACTGGGACATATCCATTCATGCATGTATTACATTCATGCACATATTGTCTAGGGCTGCTTTCATGCTTCTGTAGCAGATTGAGTGACTGCAGAGATCATGTCCCACAAAGCCTAATTATTTACTACCTAGCCCTTTACACAAAAAGCTTGCCAGCCCTTGAGCTAGAGCTAATGGAGTAACGGCTACTCCTTTCAGTTGAGGCCTCTACTCTTCTAGTTCACCAGTTTCCACCCTTTTTGCTTAACTCACTGATATTTCCTCCTGGCCCATGTAAGTACTCAAGTTTATGACTCCACACATACAAAAGGAAGGGAGAGTAAAATCTAATTTTGAGCAATTTAAACATTTAATTGTTCAAAAAGAAGGCAAAGAAGATACACTCAGAGAAGAGGCAATTCCAAATGGATTAAGAATTTAAAGAATTTGGCGGGAGATCCAAGATGGCCAATTAGGAGCAGCTCAGGATTGCAGCTCCCAGTGAAAGCCTGGAGGGTGAGTGCATGCCGCATTTACAAACAGATTTTTATTGCCTACAGACCAAGAGATTCCCAGGCGGAGGAGCCCCACAGGTCACCAGCGC